CCTGGACACACACCTGGGTGGCACAACGAGGTCCCTGCTCCGTGTCTGTCCATCTGGGAGCTCCCAAGGGGAGTGGCCTGCAGGATCAGGCTGAAATCGGCTCTCCGGCATCCCCCAAGGAGTCCCGGATTGCGAGAGGGCACAGGCCAGGCCGAGGGACCCCACCTTTGCACAATCGGGCTGGGGAGGGACCGCGGGAGGGTCCAGGGCGTGTCCGGCTCATCGCGCTCAGTCCCAGTCAGCTGGACCCCAGCAGCAAGCTAACCTGCTGGTGGGGGCATCTGCCCCCTGGTGGCCAGTGCACGTCATAGCGAGCAGTTGAGCAGTCTTAGCATATCATTAGCATATTATGCTTTGATTGGTTGTTCGGTTGTTCTGCCGTTTGGTCTATTTGCATATTACCCTTTTATTATACAGGATAAATTCAGGTCCAGCTGCTCTCCCAGCCGAGCTCCGGGCCTGGTCAGGGTCATGGAGGCAGTGAGCCTTCTGGGAGCGGGGTTGCTCAACACGGAGAACCGCCCCCCGCGGGGCCAGCACGGCCCTGCTGAGGGTGGAGACTTCGGGAAATCCTATTTCCGTTCGAGGGAAGACCGCACGCAACCCTTCTTTTCCTGGATCTGCTTTTTAAACTTCTCTTCAAGATTCGCAGGCCTCGCCTCTACAAAAGCACCAGTCTCCTGACTCACAGTCCCAGCTGGGCCTGCACCCTCTGGGGTCCCGGGACCTGAAAGGCGGGACCAGCAGCTCCGGGGTTGGGGGGTGGGGAAGCCCTGCTCCCTCCCAGTGGGACCAGCACGGGTTCTGTGGGATTCCCACCGCGGATCCTGGAAATGAGGACGTCGGAGGGGAAAGGGCACCAAGGCCTCAGAGCAGGACGTGCTTCTCTGCAAACCCGCCCTGTCCCCCTGTCCAGCGGGAGGAAGGAGCCGCCCCGTCCCACAGACGCGTGGACGCCCTCCTTGCGCCCGCTCTCCCAGGTGCTGCAGGCGGGCACCTGCACCCTACACGCCCACACCCAGAACAAGTGGTGAAATTACATTGTTGTTTCCACTTCATTTCCCTGGGAAAATAAGTGAGAGCAGCAGCACTGCACGGGGGAGTCTGTTTCATGGAGCGTGACCGCGTCATTTCTCTTCCCGGAGCGCGTGGGGGGCGGGCGTGGCACCTCAGCGCGAGTGCACATTCAACAGCAGGACGCAGCCTCCTGCTCATGTTCATGTTCGTCGCTAGATAAGGCTTTTCACTGCTTTGAGTGATTGATGGGATGTGATGTGATGTGATGTGATGTGCAGATGTTAGGGGCACGGTGCTCTGGGCCTCGGGGGTCGTTTGGAAGTGAAACAGTGAATTCGTGGCAATGAGAACAATCCCTCTGTCGGCGTGACCTGGACGGTGGGTGGGGCAGCAGCGAGGCAGGGGCTGAGGTCACCAGGTGGAAGTGGAAGGTGTGTGCTTTGTCTGTGAGTCCCCTCCCGCCCCCAGAGTAAAATTCCCGACTGTATTCTCCCTTCTGCTGACCATGCAGCATCGGAGCGTCCCCTGCGCCCGGCTTCCTGCCCAAGGGCCCGCGTCTCATTTCCATTCTGAGGTGCAGTCCCGGGCGAGGCTGTTTGGGCCACTTCTGTGGGTCCCACTTGGGTTTTTTTTTGTTTTTTTTTTAATATATTTTATTGAGTTTTTTTTTACAGAGAGGAAAGGAGAGAGATAGAGAGTTAGAAACATCGATGAGAGAGAAACATCGACCAGCTGCCTCCTGCACACTCCCCACTGGGGATGTGCCCGCAACCAAGGTACATGCCCTTGACCGGAATCGAACCTGGGCCCTCTCAGTCCGCAGGCCGACGCTCTATCCACTGAGCCAAACCGGTTTCGGCCCCACTTGGGTTTTTACTGCGTCTCTTTTCCTGCCTCTCCTCGGAGTCAGATATTTCAAAGATAAAAATATGAACTCTCTTCTTTTTTTTAATGTATTTTTATTGATTTCAGAGAGGAAGGGAGAGGGAGAGAGTTATAGGAACATCAGTGAGGAAGAATCATGGATCGGCTGCCTCTGCATGCCCCACACTGGGGATTGAGCCCACAGCCCGGGCCTGTGCCCCGACCAGGAATCGAACCGTGACCTCCTGGTTCACAGGTCGACACTCAGCCCCTGAGCCACACCAGACGGGCTGAACTTTTTTCTAAAACATGTCGATAGATTTGTATTTTTTTATTTCAAGAAATCAAATTACTTGTCTCAGTTTTTCCCTCAGTGGCTTGTGTACTGATGGGATAAGGTGTATTCATCTAATTGCTAAATTGCTGGCATTCGTTGAGGAATGGTTTTTAATCCTAACCTGAGGATGTTTTTATTGGTTTTAGAGAGGGGAAGGGAGAGGGGAAAAGAGAGAGAAACATCAATGTGAGAGAGAAACATCGATTGGTTGCCTCCCGTACTCACCCAGACCAGGGATGGAACCCACTCCCCAGGCATGTGTCTTGACCAGGACTCAAATTCACAACCTTTAGGGGCTCAGGACGACACTCCAAACCCCTGAGCCACATGGCTCAGGGCACACTGAGGAGTTTGCTTGTTTTTAAGTCTTACCATTTCCACCCACACAGTCTCATCAGGAGCTGTCACAGGGTCCTGTCACTGAAGTTAGCTTGCATTGATGTTTATTTATTACACTGGAGGCCTGGTGCGTGAAATTCATGCATGGGGAGGGTTGGGGGATTCCCTCAGCCTGGCCTGCACCTCTCACAATCTGGGACCGCTGGCTCCTAACTGCTGGCCTGCCTGCCTGATCACCCCTAGCCACTCACCTGCCTGCCTGATCACCCCTAACAACCTCTTCCTCGGCCCCCACCACAGTGGCCTCATCCGGAATGATGTCCAGAAGGTCATTTGGCTGTCCGGTCTAATTAGCATATTACACTTTTATTATTATAGATTTTTTCTGAGATTTATCTAATCTGGTTTTTTTTGTTGTTGTTGTTAATCTTCACCTAAGGATATATTTTCCCATTGATATTTTTTAGAGATAGAGTAAAAGGGAGGGAGGAAGGGGAGAGAGAGATAAGAAAGAGAAACATTGATGTGAGAGAGACACATTGATTGGTTGTCTTTTGCACACTCCCTGACTGGGCCGGGGCTCGAGCCTGCAATCCAGGTATGTGCCCTTGACCTTGAATGGACCCCCTGACCTTTCAATGCACTGGCCGGTGCTCTAACCATTGAGCTACCAGTCAGGCTCTTTAATCTTAAGTGTAAAAATAATTGTTAAAAAGAATTGTGCCCTAGCCTGTTTGGCTCAGTGGATAGAGCATTGACCTGTGGACTTAAAGGTCCCGGGTTCAATTCCTGGTCAGGGCACATGCCCGGATTGCCAGCTCAGTCCGTGTAGGAGGCAGCCAATCAATGATTCTCTCTCATCATTGATGTTTCTATCTCTCTCTCCCTCTCCCTTCCTCTCTGAAATCAATAAAATTATTTTTTTAAAAAGAATTGGAATCTGGTGCTTAATGTGTGATGAATTGTTGCAATGCCGCCTGCTGCTTGGAGTGCAGCGCTCATTTCTGCTGGCATCTCAGTCCTTTTATTTCTTTGGGGGTTTTGTTTGTCATCAGGGAGCTCTTCCTGATGTGGGTGTGGCTGAGCCGGATGCAGGGGACACTGCCCAGGGGGCCTGAGCCACAGTGGGGGTCACAGGCAAATGGGGCAGCCTTTGCGGGGGCAGGCCAGTTGGGGGGGTGGGAGCTGGTGGAGGGGGAGGCCTGGCCGGAGGAGAGGTGGCCGGGCACCCAGGGCAGGTGGCCCCGCAGGCCTGGGCGCTGGGAGGCCTGGCTTTGGCAGAGTCCGGTGAGGAGGAAGCTGTGGGAGCAGGTGGGGAGGCTCAGGGCGAGTCCGCAGGGCGGGCTGACAGCTGTACCTGCCTTCGCAGGGAGGTGTCCAAGCAGGTGCGTGCATCCATCTCCCCGTTACTGTCCTTCCCGCTGACACCTCGGGGCCCCTCTGTGCCCCGGCGCTCACCAGGCCCCTCCTTTCCCACAGTCTGTCTGTCCTAACGCCCCTCCTCCTCCCTGCGGTCCCTCCGTGTCACCTCCACCTCTCCACCTCCTCCCATGCTGGGCCCACGGATTGCTCCACTCCCCCCAGCACTGTCCTGGGGGCCTCTTTGATTTGGGGGAGCAGGTCTAGCTCGCCCAGCCACGGGCACCTCGGCCTCCGGGTGGCTCAGCGGGTCCTCACTGAGGAAGTGAAAACTCTGGCTTCAGGGCGTCCTGTGCCTCACACGCTGTGTCACGCAAGTCATCAAACTGTGGGGAAAAGAAGGCGGGAAAGGGAAGAGGAAGGGGCAGGGGCAGAGGGGAGGCAGGAGGAGGGCAGGGGGGCCGGTCGGTCCCCCCTCCGCAGCCAGGCGGGCAGGAGGAGGGGATGATTATCGGGAACCAGACTCAGAATCACCCTTCCCCGCAGAGTTCCTGCCCGAGCAGGGGCTGGAGGGACAGTCAGGCCATTTCCCCGCTCAGGACCCTCCTGTGAGGGGGGAAGAGCGAGAGATGAGAAAAGGTAACTCTCATTTACAAAGAGCCATGCGTCGTTTTTAGTATTTGTGGCGAGTCCGCAGCCCCTGCCCCTGCCCCGCGGGGTGAGCTTGGGATTGCCGGACGGTTCCTGCCTCCGAACAGGAGCCCCTCGGGGGAGACACGGTCCCTCACAGGTTTCCACGCATCCTGTTTGCTCTGGGAACGTTCCGACCGGGCCCGTGTTCTGCTGTCTGAGCTGTTGTTAACTGACAGCATCTCCGTCACTTAAAATCCTTTCCTCCGGGAGCAAATGGAGCCGCGGACGCAGGCTGCCTTGTCAACGTGCTCCTGTGGCCGCACCAAGTGCCCGGGTGTTGCTGGCAAAGGCCTGTGTTTCTGTTGTGGGTGCTGCTGGCATTCACGCCTTCATTTGTATTTTGTTGTGAACAGTGCGGTTTGCTGGGCACAGAAGGTCCGCGCGTCCTCAGTGCCTCACGGTCAGCACTGGCCGCTGTGCGCGTTTCGCTGCGAACGTGAATGAACAGAGTTACAGCGATCTCCGTGTTCAGGACAGAAAAATCGGCTGGCCAGTGGCTCAGTGGTTGAGTGTCGACCTCGGAACCAGTGGTCACGGCTCCATTCCCGCTCAGGGCACAGGCCTGGGTTTCGGGCTCGATCCCCAGTGTGGGGTGTGCAGGAGGCAGCCGATCCATGAGTCTCTCTCATCATAGACTTTTCTATCTCTCTCTCTCTCACTCTTCCTCTTTGAAGTCAATAAAAATATTGTTAAAAATAATAATCACCGACTTTTAATGACAACCAATGAAGCTTTTTAAATGAACTTTTGGGAAAACACAGCGGCTTTGTCCCACTTTGTGCAGTGTGTTTAATGAAGTGTTTTCTGCATCAGAGAAAAACAGAAACCCCTTCCCCAGGGGCCCTCCGCCCCGAGAAAAGCCGCTGTTCACCTGATCTCCCAGCCGCGACATGGGGTGCCGATCCCCTGCCCATTCTCCCTGGAAACAGAGAGAACTTACGGAGGAGGAATTAATTTACTGCCCCGTGTGTTTATCTGCGCTTCTAATGAGAGGCAGTCACCTCATGGCATCCGACCTGCTGTCCGTGGGGAGAAGACAGAACCGTGAGAAATAAAACCAAATCCACACGCACGCGGCTCACTGGCCCCTGGGGTGGCCACCAGCTTCTGAGGCTCTGTCCTGGGATGTCTTCCTGTGTCCCCATGTGCAGTAACAGCTGCCCGGGGTCCAGGAGGTGCAATGAGAGCTGTGTTCCGGCGACTGGTCCCAGCGACACCTCCCCCTGCGGCCACTGGTCCCCAGTGAGACCTCCCCCTGCAGCCACTGGTCCCAGTGACACCTCCCCCTGCAGCCACTGGTCCCCACTGAGACCTCCCCCTGCGGCCACTGGTCCCAGCGACACCTCCCCCTGCGGCCACTGGTCCCCAGTGAGACCTCCCCCTGCGGCCACTGGTCCCCAGGAGACCTCCCCCGGCCCATCCTCCCCACAGCTCTTTCCACACCCAGTTGTGTGCATGTCTCCGTGGACTTGCTCAGACGCGGCTCCGTGGGTCTCATCCCTTGTCAGGCCCATCAAAGGAGAGAGCCACGTCTTTGAAGATCTTGGAAGAAATTCCTGAAAAAAGTTCAGTATCAGAAATAAGCCTGCCGCCCTGAGCAGAGGCTCTGTGAGCCTCACCCACGGGGCCCGCACCGCTGACCGGCTCCCCGTCATCAGCTCAGAGCCGGTCCACGCCGCTGGCCGCAGCTGGCTCACCACCGGGCTTCACTCCCTGCCCACGCGGCCACTGGACAGGTCCTGCCCCGCCCCCCTCCCCCCCCAGTGCCTGCTGCAGTGCGTCTCGCCTCTCCCCAGTCCCTCCGGGACGAGTTGGTTACGATTATGAAAGGGGCAGGGGGGTCGCCATGACTTCAGTGCAGTTTCTTAAGTATGAGAGCAATTCCCTCCTGATTGTAATGAATTTGATGATGAAAAGAGGTCAGGAGACCACGGGGCGGTGAAATAATAGTCACATTATTTAAAATCTTCACTAACCAGCCTCT